AAATTTCAAATTCAGTATAATATTAAAGACTTAAATATTCGTAATTTTTAAAGAAACAAACACAGAAGATATTATTAGAGAAACAAAATGATGATATAATTGGCATATAAATATGGCTTTAATATTTAAAAAATTAAGAAATTTTCTGTTTGATTCTTAAAATACTCCTATTTTTAGTAAATATATTTTGAAATATTAAGTACAAAGTGTTTTGCAACATGTGATTAAATTGATACAAAGCCATAAATATCTTGGAAGAATTCATCATCAAATAAATTCAAGCAAAATAACTTTACTGAAATTGCAAAGTTTCATATAAAGCACATACAGAAATGATCAAAATAAATAAATAATGGCATTGCAAAATATTAAAGATATAAATATTTGAAAATAAGTAAAATTTCAAGAAATTATATTTTAGCTAAAAATATAACTGCCTTTTGATATCATCAACAAAATAATATAATACAGAAAATTTCCATATATCTCCTCCCAAAACGATTACAAAATTCCCATTAATATATATATATTAATTGTTTTGGGAGATCGTTTAACACACACAACCACACCATATATATCTATGTGTAACAGAAAATATTTCATGTTCGCACCCATTTCCTTATATTCAGGGCAATCACATGTGCCTGCAGGTTTTTTTTTTTTATTCTACAATTAACACTTAATAAACAAATGAAAATAACCAGTAGGAATAGAAAGTGAAAACTGCATTGTCTTTCATTTTTGACAACAGTTCACTACACTATAAACAGAATTTAAAATAAGTTTAGTTGACTTATTTTAAATTCCGAACTAACTTAGAAACAGACGTTTAAGGAAAATTAATTCACACACATCACAAAAATTATATATATATTCTTATATTTAAATTATTAACCCAAAAGGGGCATTCGACCTAAAAGGCTTTTAGTCTCACAACGGGATTTTGAATCTTTTCACATTCTATGTTGGTTCACTTTTCACATTATGAAAAAATAATGGTAGCTAGATACATCAAAGTTTGAATAATGTAGCAATCCAACCGAATGCAGACACTTAAAAACCCGAATTTTGAATTTGTTTTTAAATTTTTGCTGAACAAACTCAACGATTTCAAAGGGAGCAACGGCAACTGTACAGAAAAAAAAAAAAAAATTATCTTCAGCATGCGAAACTGTGTATTGGAAATTCTACATGTATGATAGCAGTTCTTGACCTTTAGACTAATGCGTACCATCTAAACAAAAATTGAAAATCTTTAGTACCACTACTATAAAGTACTCTTGAACAAAGCTCAGACTGCATAAATTTAACAGTGTTGGCAAAAAAACTCAAACAGGAAGTTGGGGTTGAATTTAATAGTTAAAAATACCTTGCTTCTTTGGCGTACCACTTATTTTTCTCTTTTTTGTGTACTAATGCCCCTGATATATGCCATTTTTAAATATTTTGTGATATTGCTGTCGAATTGAATTTTATGTGGTTTAAGTGCAAAGAACATATTTAATAAATAAAGGTAACGCACAAAACATTAAAAAATGTCCTTTTCGACATATAAAATTTGAAGGCTTTCAGATTTTCTTTTTTTCTCACCTTTTTTTAAATTTTAAATAATGTCAGATGTTTACTGATGTAAAAATCTACATATTCATATTTTACACATATTAAGATGTAACTGGAAAGACGGTCACAACTAACAGGTGACAAAACATGAAACGTAAGAGAGTTTTCATAATACAGTAGGAACATAACAGTTTTCATAATACAGTATGGGGCTGAAAACCAAGCTGTATGCTAATTACTCTGTTTTCATTTGATCACTTCCAATACATTAAATATTATTTTTTGTAAATATCTGTGATTAACCATTTCATGGACTAATTTTTTTAAAGTGCCAAAAAAAAATTTTTTTTTTTTTTTTGTTTGAATGTTTTATTTATTTCATATTAGCAGCAATTCAGTGACCTCTAAAAAAAAAAAGGTAAAACACTAAACAGACACACAAACAATACAAAGTGTCCATATAATGTAGCTGCGGTCCAACCAGTATGGTGGTTAGCATTGCTGACTGCTATGCCAAAGGGCCCAGGTTCAAACCCCCAGAGAAGTCATGGATGTTTGTAAATTTATGCGGCGATTCAAAAGTCCTCTCATGTGGTTTGGTGGAAGGGGTTGGAGACCCTCTGACCCATCCCCCCGTGCTGTTCTCCATCCACTATGTAATGAAAACATTTAGTACCCTGCTAAATCCTGAATTATTATTGTTTGGATGCTAGCACAGAAGAGCTATGCTTGGATTTTGAATATTCTGTGCAGCAAATAATTCAGTAAAAAAAGTCAATTTAATAATTAGTAAACAGTTTGCATACATTTTCCACTACAATTAAAGATTTATGTTTATTTTAGTCAATTTATTTTGTTTCAATAATATTATATACTGCAATCAATTTCCTGAACTATTTTTTTTAATTTAATTCCCCAGAAAATAAATTATTAAATTGCCAGATCTGCTATAGTTTCTGGCTCGAATTTATAACAGAAGGCATGGATGTTTATTAATAATTAATACATGTCTTTGCACAATAGGGGCATTTAAAATGCGATCCAGGCAAAATTCCTCTCAAGAGGTTAATGGTAGGAATTAGAGTACGCAAGACCCTTGGATTTCCCATCCCAGAATCTCCTTTACAATCAGAAAGGGACTAGGCAAATGAGCTCTTACCTACAAAGTGCCCATAGCCTAAGCCAATGATAGTTGTTGGGATGAGTCACAAGAGGTTTTGACTGAAACAGATTTTGACAGATACTGGTATTAATTTTAAAAAGTCATCACATTTTATATAACTTTATTACAAAAATACTTCTTAAAGTCTTATAATATTTAACTTCCCAATTTTTGTAATTTTTCATATTGTATTATGAATTTGCTTCACATTTATATTTTACAAGTATACTCCAAGTTTCTAGTACTACGTTAAAGTAGCTTTTTCTTTGTAAATTTTCATCATAGGATCTGAGCATTAAAAGTTTTTATTAACGATGGTAGAACTATCACTGCTATATCCAAGAAAACAAGATTAGATTATGATATTTAAAACATCTGTGGCTTATCAACTCAAATCACTATATGGTTTCAAATGATTTCATTTCTCGCATTTTAATTTAATGACTTATTCTTGTGAATGATTCAGTAACAACTGCAGACTGAAAGCATCAACGAGTAATAGATGCATATACAGAAAAATGTGCTACATCTATTAATAATAAAAGAAGTTACATTACTAATTACTCCATTTTTAATGCTGAAATATTTTAAGAATTATACAATTTACTCCTAAAAGAATAGGATTAAAGCATTACAAATAGTCATAATTACTTACAGAAAAGTTTAAAATCTAAAATACTGTTTCTGATACTGCTACTGAATCAGCGAAGAGAATAATTTGTTATTACATTGCGGGAAGTCAAATCACTTTGATCTGCTGATAGCAGGTCCAAAAGTTTACAGCATTATGTCATATGCTATGCATTACAATATTTGTCACTGCATAGAATATAAAATTTGTATTTCATCTTCATATGGCTTGGCAAATAGCCTGTTTCTAAAAAGCTACTACTACTCAATGTAAGAGTTTTATTTTACATAATTAAACTTAGGAAATTTTAATATTTATTACCCAGTATAGAATCATTTGGTTTATCTTAAAGCTGCTTTACATAATATAATACTTAAAACTTTTAATCTTTGGTAGTGATTTTGAACTTATTAACAATAAGTTTTTAAAAACATTTATGCAAGTATCAAACTGCATGGACAATTAATTAAGTGTGGAATAATTTTTTTTAACCCAAGATCAATCAGATGCTAGACCATGAAACAGATCCAATATCATAAAATGATTCCAAGGTGCATCTTTTGAATGGCAGTATATTCGATTTTTACACAGCAGATCAAAGTTTGATTTTCAAGGTCATTTACCACCTTTCAGGACACAGCCACATGGTGCCATGTTCTTTGCGATAATAGATGATACCAACAGCTCAGTAAGTATGCAAAATGACTGGTTCATCACGCGATAAGAATACACACTTCACTCACCTGGCAGAGCATATGACGAATGATGTCGCATGGATGCGACATAATTCACACAACGAAGAGCACTACTAGGCAAGGCCATGCATTACAGCCAAAACCCACTGATGCAATGACCAACTCGGCCTACAACATCAGCTTGATCAGAACAATCAGCCAGAGACCCAAGCATCATATTAAAAAAAGCTGGGAGGAATGTGTGTGTGTGTAATGGTCCAGAAGACCAATCACATGCATGCACCAAGAAACAGATATATATATTACAAAAAATTGCACAAGCGCACTTTGATAATGGGCTTCCAATTTTTGTAATTTTATAATTATGTATGATACACAACTTCTATGCAATATGCTTATACAAGTATGATACACAACTTCTATGCAAGAGATCTGAGGTCATTTGCCATCTTCAAGGACACTGGGGCCCTTCCAACCATGCTAAGAGATAGTGATGAGCAACAGCACAGTAAGCAAGTAACCAAATAATTTAATGCCATATAGATACAACTTTATAATGCAGAATTCTGCAATATTCGTGAAAAGATTACGTTTTACAACAGAGAAATCAGCTCTATACCTTTTTGATTTCTTGAACACATCTAAAGGGCTGTTCTTGCTAGACATCTGGAACAGTTGAAAAATCTGAATTTCACACATATAGTAGAGCTAGTTGATATATGGAATACTCTCTTGGTTCAGATAAACCATACTATGAACAGCTCTTAGTTGCACCTGATGAAAATTTGATACAGAAAGTTACTTCATGGAATAACACAGAATTAAAACAGTTTTTGATATAACACCTCTGCTATTTGCTTTGAATATCCAGCATTATGGAATGTTATTATTATTTTACTGAAGTTCTTGCTTGACATACTTTGTTGTATGTAGCATAATAATAATTTACCATCACAAAAAAAAATGTAAGTCAATATATAGATAACATTTCTTGATGCAATGAATAAATTGCCACTTCATCACCAACAACAATTACGTTCCTTAAATGACTATCTCAACAGAAGATCAAATTATTTGGAATCACTGCAGTTGTCTTAAGACACACACGTTACATTGAAAACAATTATTTAAAATTACAGCTGACTTTTAGAATAACCTAAATCTTCATAAAATCTGATAAGAAAATAAGATGGATTAATGGGGAAAAGTGGCCCATATATAAAGTTATCTATGTTATGCAGTGAGGGGATGCCAAAATATCTTTATTACCATTCCCCACCTGGAAGTTTGTTCCACACTCTTACACTGAAGTGCACTATAAATTTCATCTGGAAAGTATAATCATATTTCTTTTAGTTCTGATAAGGAAATTACAAAGAACTTGCAACACACTGTAAAATAAATATATACATGATGCATTTCAATATTTAAATCGAACAAACAGTAAATCTGTATACAATCTGACATCAACGATTCTCTGGAGAATTTGATCACTAATTCTTTCCAAACCTTAAATATTTTTACTGACCTTTCTCCACATATTTCTGAAATTGTTTTCAGTAATTATCATGTAAATGTAATAGCATGCATAAAAATTCCTAAATATTGCACATATTAGAACAATAACCAATTTGTTTTCCCGATTACCTGTACCCCCACTGAAGAGACAAACATGTCAGAATATAAGAACATTTGTAAACTCACTAGAGACTAATTTTTGCCAAGCTAATATGCAAAAGGCAACAGCAATTTACAAAATGATGGTGCACTAAGAATTCCATACAAGAGCAATCAATCAATAAAACCTTAAAAGTGAAATGCAATGATAATAAAACACATTTTTTTTTCTTTCAAGAAATTGTTCTTTTTTGTGCTGTTGTTTTTCCCATATACACAGCAATCAGTCTTTGCTAAAAAAAAGTTCTCAGAATTCTATAAACTTGGCTAATCCAATCCAACTATAAATTAATTGGGCATAAAATTTCAACACTGCAAACTATCCAAGATAGACTATGTGGGTTGCCAAAGAAATACTTTTTGGTGACACTGTTGGTTGCCACATAACTATTTTGGTGCTATACTGCTTTGCTTAAGAATACTTTTTGTAACTTTTCAGTAAAGGTGTGGACAATCAAAATGAACCCAATAACTACCTGAATATAAATAACTGAAAATAAATAAATAAATAAATAAATAATACTTTGCAATGCCAGAATTTTTCAAGTTTAAGACTGAATGCAAAACTTTAAATTTCATTAAAATAACTCAGTTACACAACTTAATAATCTTCCCTTCCCAAGTCATAACTCATATACTCTTTAAAACTACTGAAGCGGTGTTTTTTTGTGAAATATGAGACAAAATAAAAAACATCTTTACAACAAAATTTACATATTGCAAATACAAAGTAATCAAATAATGAAATTTTAACCAAAAATGGAAATGGTAATCTTTAAATTTAGCAGATTGTTTGGTGATCTGTAGTCAAAACAAATTTTGGGCACACAAAGTATTATACTAGAATTAAACACTTATAAAAACTCAGCATAAACTACTTGTATTATAAGTATTTCTTATATATTTAAAATAAAACTGGTCACAACAAAATATTGTGAATTATGCATATGAAATTTGCTACTTTTTCAGTTTAATTTGGTATACATTACATCCAAATTGGAAATATTAACGTTCAACATACACATATTCAAAAAATATCTGGCAATGTAAATATAAATTGTTCTAAGTGCCTGATGAAATATTTTCTATCTAGCATTGTTGACAAAATGAAAAATACATATTTTCTCTCAATTATTAAGCTCCAAAATCTAAAAAAAAAAGCTAGAACTGTAGAATTTATAAACTACACTATGTTTCAACGAGGTAGTACAATGCCCTATAAAAATCTAGGTGTTCAATAAACAAGTCTACTTTGCAGTCAATTTACATTTTTATACACATTTTGTGAGTATATAGTGTCGGCTTGTAGAGTTTATTTTAAAGATCAGCAATAATAATATTAAACAACATGTTTTGCAGAGTTAAGATATTTTTTTTAAATCAGGAAACTTTTCTATGAACCAATGTAAAAATAGTTCATTCAGAAAACATTTGAGTCCATAAGATCAGTAAGGAAGTAATGAAAGTACAAGAAGTAAATCTTAAACATTGAAAAATATTTCATTTAAAAAATGAAGTGGTAAGCCAGATATGTATTTAGAACAACAAATTAGTGATTATCATCACATATTTAAAAATCCATGATGAAAGCTTCTACTATCATAAAACCATTAAACACTTTTTTTCTTTTCTAACCTAATACTTAGGATGCGCAAATCAAAACTTATTGCTTTCCATATATTTAATAATATTCGTTGTTGAAGTTAATAAAAGTTGTAAAAGAGAAAAAAGTTTATATATATTAAAAGAAATAATAAATAATATGAAATAAGCTAATTGCACATTAGATTTGATTTTCAAGCTTTGTATATAAAAATACATAATACAGATCAGCTAAAGCCATTTAACAAAAAAGCAATAAAATTTTTAATTCACAGGGAAAATGCTCAACATAAAACAAGAAATTCAAAGTATAAATAAAAATATTTGATTTGACTCTTTTTGATAAAAACAAACTAAATTTCATGATTTTGATATTATACTTGAAGCTTTCACATTGCAAGTACAAATAATAATGAAGCAGAAAACACTGGATACCCATATAGCACTGAGAAAACTACTTGGCATTTTTATGAATGCAATATGAATTTAATCTTTTAAAGGAAAAATGTATATAAATTAGCAGTTTTTATGTATAACACAAGCAATTTTTTAAAGATGCATAAACAGCACTGGTTTTGATTCACCGGAAAAAGAATGAAATACTTCTGCTTTCTGTTCAGAAAGAGTTAAATTTATAATAAAAATTTAACATGTATAGATATCTAAAATTTTGTAGAAACATAACAGAAGCAGATGATGCCATTCTAAGTGAAATGTGATCAAATCTCATGCAAATAAGATGGGGAAAAAAAAAAAAAAAAAAAAAAAAAGCACATTAATCTTTTACAGACTACAAAAATTCAAAATACTGAAAACCATTAACTTTATTTGAAGCAAAAAAAAAAAAAAAAAAAATTTCTAACACGTCAAAACAACATTTCCTAAACTATATTTCATATTTCATAAATGAAAGCTGCAATCATAAATCTTACTCTGTTTATAGGATAACAAATATTCTGTCACCCTCCCCTCAAAAAAACTTAACATACTCCTGCTTTTCAAATTATTTCTGTTTAAAAATACCTTTATTCAAACCAACTGAATAATATAAATAATAAAATTTGATGGTTCATTCTTTAATATTCTTCAACCATTTCAAATAATGTGCATATTTCTTCACTTTTATTATTTCCCACATTCATTAAGCACTAATAATTTAACATAACTTTAATAATTTTACTTGTATAAGTATTTCTCTTAATAAGAATAAAATTATTGTAATTCAACAGTTTTATATAATTAATTTAATAAATTTTAAACTCAACATTCAATGATTAAAAATAGTTCAGGAAACACTGCTTTAGAAAAAAGCAACACTACAGAAGCGATGCTATTCCTAGCGATATACGTGATACAATCACTTTTTATCATTCAACACTTTTAAGCAAGAATTAAAATATACCAAAATGAACTAAAAAGATATACATTACAATTAGCAGCACAAAAATGCATGAATATTTGGACCCAGAAACCATGAGTATTAATAGTGTTAATAATCTCGCATTTTGTAGAATGCAAGCATAAATGCACAAAATATGGCATACGTGAAATATCTGATATGGTTGTGTTCTCTCTCAAATACTTCCATGTCTACATTTTAAACACAAAGTATGAGCAGTGCTTGAGGAACTCATGTATCTGCAGAAGATTTACAGTCTTATGTATCTCAGAAAAGAAACGTTTAAATCTTAAAACCACAATTCCAAATTTTACACATCATATTCTACAGACTTTCAAAAACTCACAATTTTAACTTCAACAAGAATTTATTCAGGAGAAAATTCTAACAATTTGTAATTTTATTAGTCCCACATAAATTCACCGGTTTTCTGATCAATGCTTTTAGCAACATCACAGCTACAATCAGAACAGTGTTCTGCTGGCAGTGAGTACAAAGTGTAAATACAAATTCAAATTTTAAATTCTTAATTAAATTTTTTTAAATTTATATATAATTTTACATTTATATAGGAGAAATGATAGTTTTCTTTTTCTTTTTAATTCCAGGCCAGAAAATTATCACAATTGCTAGGAGCAGGACCTTGGAAATTATCACATGCCTAACATTGACACACACACACATACATACATGCATATAGTAAACATCCTTTCACTGAAACTTAACAGTGCACATTCATCTTAATTTCTTTTTTATGCAAACATAACAACTACCAGCTGCTGACTAACACCACACACACCATGGAATACACCTCCTCTGAACAAACAACTGCTCCAGCAACAAACACTGTTGCTGTTTGCACTGCATAAAAAAAACCATAACTACATCAAACCCCTAAAAAATGCACAGACAATATATCAAGAAAAATTAAATTTTTTGTAAAATGTACATAAGAGTTCTCTGCTAAGAGGCCTTGGTCTCTTTTCCCATATGTTCTCTCTGATGTAAAAGCACCTGATAACGATGGCAGAATGTTTGAATGCACTTATTACACTGATGTTTTTTCAAACTATGCCACTGTAGATGAAGTATATAGTTCCGTTTATGCCTAAAATATATTGGACATTTGACACACAATCTACACTTTAAAAGAGATGCTTGAGCTATTTTTCTAATTTTTTTTGCATACAAAGATAAAAATTTCTCTCTTTCTTGGTTCCTGGAACTAGAACACTTGACTTTTGTTTTAGATGAACCACTTGCTTTAACACCTGCCACAGATCCTTCTGTACTCGCATCATGTACAACAACTTTTCTCGGCTGTGTCTGCTTGCGCGAACGTCTTCCGCTGTCGTCATTTGTTTTCTCTGAACACTCATTTGAATTTGAACTAACTTTTTTAGCAAAAGGAAACAAAGCTTTGATGGAAGAATCCAAATAAGAAGTTGTGAAGGGTAATACAAAATGCTTGTGCTCAACATCCTCACACAGCTGACAACAAAATGGATGATGGAGTTCTTTATAATGAGTAACAAATGAAAATCTTGTGCTACAGCGGAAGCCACAGTGAGGACACCTGACTATACCATCGTCATTACTGTGACTCTGCAGCACATGTTCCCTGAGAACTGTATCATATGGAGTATCAAACTGACAACCCTCACCAGCTTGACAGTGTAGTGTTTGGCCGGTATGAATTCTCATGTGCTCCATCATCATTGGCTGCTTCGGAGTTGAGTAACCACATACTGAACAACAATACGGATTTAGTGGACGCCGACCAGCTTTTTGAAGAGGATTTTCATGAAAGAGTTCTTCGTGTAAGGAGAGTGATTGAGGATCAGCAAAATCACATCCACAGTAGAGGCACAGGGTTCTAGAGGCACTCGTATCTTGAGCTGCCAAGTAAATTTACATTTAATGGTAAAATATACAGAAATAAATTTCTATTATAAATTTTAATTTCAAAACAAAATCTAGAAAAAAATGTCATAAAAATATTTGCACTAGATAAAATTTGTTACTATCACCAGCCTTTTCTACTAAAAATTATACTGGAAGGAACTAACAATTCTCTCTCTCTCTCACACACAAACACACACACAAACACACACACACACACACGAAAAAAAATTAAAAAAAAAAAAAAAACTACACAATGGTTATTTTTAAAATATTTTCTACCGCTGCAAAAATAAGTTAATGTGATTGAAAATATAAATTTGCAAAAAATTTCATTTAATGGAAAATAATAACTATCATTTAAAACTTAAGCTTCCATTAACTTTAACACATAAAACAATTTTATTCTTAACACACAGTTTGTTCTGTACTAAACAGGGAAAGGAGTGGGGCCTTTAAATTTTATACCGACTGCTCTTAACCATAATACCAAAATGAGAATAAGAACACTGGCCACACATTTTTATTGACATGCTAAATTAAAATGCAGCTAATAAACATAGTAAAGCATACCTATAAGCTACAGGTTATAATTAATCACTTGGCATTGGCAATTTTATTTAACCTATTAATGCCAAAATAATTCTTTTTATAAAAATCACCTGGAAACAAACCACAAGCCTCTTTTCAGTTGTAACAACACTATAATATCCACATTTTATTAAAATATAGAGGAACCTTGGATTACAAACAAATTTTCTGAATAAAAAAAATAAATCTCTGATTATGAATATTGTCTCAAGTTACAAATCTATGGGCTGGCAACAAATTATTTTCAAATATCTTTTGAAAATAATCCACATTTGATATAGAATTATCACTCGAAGAATTCTGAAAACATCATTTTAATACTGTCTAGTGCTTAACTCTCACGAATAAAATCTGGCATCAAGCGAATTCCAGAATCATTAATTCCATTTTGAGGAAGTTATGGCCATACATTTCAAAGGCTTTGAACTAAACCATGGGTTGCTAGTTAACAATGAACAAGTGAATGAGCTACTAGAGGAACACACAAAAATGAGCTGAGTTTAACCAAGTGTTATGGATTTGGTCCTGAAATTTCAGAGTTCCTCAAATGCCAATGATAAGTGGCATTTTCTTTGATTATAATTCCAAAACGACTCTTTCATTTGGAATCCTTTTCTTTCAATAGACATTCAACCCAAAATCAGATTTATAAGTATCTGGCAGAAATTTTCATGTATACCAAATCAGAATGCCATCCTTCGATACAGAATTTTAAGTCTTATAACCCTCAGAGGGTTAAAAAAGACCTGGAAAAATCTCAGAAGCAAGCAGCAAAAGACAACTGCAGAGGATATGTCTTCAACAGTAAAATTAAATTGTTATTAATTGTTGTAATTTATTGTAGTAAATTTAACTGTAATTATCCATGATCTATTTATATGTTATCCTTTTTTCACTTTGATTTGCATTGGTTTTATATTACATTAACTCATCCATAACTAACTATCGTAAAAGTTTAAGTAAGCGATCACCTGTGGTCGAGGAACAAATTAATCCATTTTACATAAATTCCTGTGGGAAAGCAGTTACAATTTATATACAAATATTTTGTGTACCAAATCGCCATACACGATCAAATTAAATGCAAAAATTGAGGTTTAATTTTGATATTTACATTTTATCAAAGCTATATAAGTAATTCCTAGTAAAATTATGACCTATGTATATAAAGAATACTGAGCAATAAGATGATACATTTTATTTTCACTCACTGACAGTTAAGCATTAATGAAACTTTTCAGGATCCTTTTCCAAGAGAGGTTTATCTTAAATAATTTATCAAATTTAGTGGCTTTAACCCACCTTAGAAATAAATATATGTTTTAATCTATTAAATTTATGTTTAATAATGAATATATCTTTTTCCGCACTCATGATGAGCATTCAGTAATCTGTAACAGACTAAGAATGTAAGAAAGTCTATGGAATCTTTGGCAAAATGCTAAAATTATTTTTGTTATTAATATTTTTGGCACAATGAGCTGTTGTTTTGATTAAATCATATTTATTCAATACATTTTTTAATATAGTATTTGAAGAAGCATCTTTTAATTCTTCTCAAAATACTTTATATTTTTGTTCTATCACGTATATCAAACCAATATGTGTTCAAATGAAAAGGAACAAAACATCTTAACAACCAATCTGGTTGAAATTTGAATATACCGCTTTGGGATAGTGTAGTAAGACATCTAGGGATGTGAATGTAGTGTCCAGCATGGCTGTGCGCATGCGCAGACAATCGCACATACCACAGGAGAGAAGCAGGTAGTTGTGAGTTGTAAGTTCCCTCCGTTTGACGTGGCAATGCGTGGAAAGACATCATGGCGTTTACATAGTAAAATTCAATGGCTCAGGAGTAGCAAGGTGTAATCAGATTCCCGACTGAAGAAGGGGTTAAACCAGCTGATACGCATTGCCAGATGGTGGCCATATAAAAGGAAGACTGCATCTGACATGTCAGTGAGAAAGACGAGTGTCCATTTTCATGAAGGCCAGGGGTGTCTGAGTGATGACCCGAGACCTGGCCAAGCAAACACGGTCGAATACACTGCAACACCTGTGGCAGTATCATGAAGACCCCGCTTTCCTGGAGCAGACTGTTGTCGGTGATGACAGCTGGTGCCATCACTTCAAGCCAGAGCGGAACAGCACGAAATGGAAGCATGCATCGTTAGCTTTACCTAAAAAATTCAAAATTGCTCCCACAGCAGGTAAGGTGATGCTCACCATCTTTTTCTACCTCTGAGATTAGATACTCAGCTACATCTTCAACTACAGAAAAACCATTAACAGTGACGTGTACTGTGAGACACTCCATAGCCTATGCAAGTCCATCAAGAGAAAGCAGCCTAGGATGCTCAAGGAAGGAATGATTTTGCTTCATGCTAATGTGCATCTACATATCTCGAAGGTCACACAAAGTGTAATGGTCAAGTTCAAGCGAGCATCTGCCCTACAAACTGGACATATTGCCCTGCGACTTCATTGTGTTTGATCCACTAAATAAATATTTCAAATGGAAGTATTTCTACTTGGATAATGAACTGAAAGACACAGTGGAGGACCGGCTCTGTCACAGCCCCAGGAATTCTGGGAACGGGATCCTTCAGCTCATGTAACAGTGGGATAGTTGTGCCCAAGCCTCTTGTGATTACTGTGAATTAAGACTTCAATTATACCCACAGTGCCATTTCATACCTTTTCATTTGAACACCCCTCATATTATTTTCCTCCACGTCTGGTTTAATGTTTCCAACATTTTAGCCTTTCTTCTGAATGTGAAAGTAATTTTATCGCCTGCATTTAATTATCTCCACATTATCAGCACCTTTCTATATCTGAAACTTTTAACTTGCTGTTATATACATCTATCCTTTTAACACCTTCAGGCCATACAACAAATTTCTTTAGAAAAAGACATATACGATCTCCACATTTCCTTCTGTTGATGCCCCAGAGCAACCAACCCTACAGCACAGATAACATCCTTTCTATTGTAGTAATAGATTCCTAGCAGTGATTCTTTCATTTTAGTAAAGATAAAACAAATATTGTCACTTTCTCCTCAGTACTGGCAGCAGATGATGCATTAGATGACGAATCCTATCATCCTCCATGGCGCTGTACAATGTGTGCACTCTTAGGCTGCTATCGCATGTTGGTTTGTTTCAGAACTGTTTGGAACAATTTTTCTGCTTTGTGACAACAGCCAATGACCATAGATCGCTTTGGGGGTTAATGCAGGGAAAACTGGTTCCCCATTAAACACAAGCTGATAGCTGATTGGTTGAAAACGAACAACTTGCAATTTCTTTGGAAAGGAAGGAAAAAGTCGCACGCCTTTCTTTCAATAGTAAAGCAAGCAGAAAAATTGTCCGAAATAGTTGTTCGTGTGAAACAAACGCCGTGTGATATGGGCCTTATGGATCTCATGCAACATTGCCTGTGGGAGGTACTGGAAACCTGACTTACTTACTGGATATGTATCTGTGTAATTCTACTCTCTTCGCCAAAATGAAAGATCCATTGCGAGGGAGCCATTCTTAGAATAGGAAAGAGGTTATCCATTCTTCAAGAGATGGCTACAGTTTTTTAACACAAGTGGACATGTTGATGGTATACATTATCCAATAGTCAGGCAGAATGTGGTACTGAGGAATTATAAATGTTTGTAACTTAAGCATTTTCAGAACTATCAACAAGTTGTCACTACTTTTTATTCATTCATTAAAGAACATACAAATTCATTTGCATCAATTTAGAAAAGAACCAAAAAAGACCCTGTATTACTTGAAATACAAGGAAAGAATGCAAACTGATTTAGTATTTACAGGGCTTGTCCACCACTGAAAGATGCAAGATGCATCAGACAACTTTTTCTTGAAACAAAAAGAACCAGTCGCCAGAATCACTTTGAAATGGATAGGGGATCCTCCAAAGTACCTTTTTAGCCTAAATGGGCACAGAAGCACAGAAGGGCTATCAATCTCAAAACAGCATTTTGCATCAAATCATTATAAATGGCTGTATCACTTTTCAAATTGTTGCCATCAAATATTATCACCTAGTATTATATTTAAAGAAACTAAATAATGAAAAATCTACATGAATGTATGTATGTTTCTGGCAATGAGAAAAAAAAACAATCGTAATTAGTCATCAAATTCTGAGGGGGGGCATTTTTATATACAGGGTGAGAGACTGTGTATTGGAAATTTTAAAAATATATTGTTTCTAAATATTCTTAGCCATATGTGGCATTAAATCAAATGATCTCGAAATGTGCATATGTCTGTAAATGAAAAACACACACGTTTGGGCATAATATAAAATCTGAAAGCTTTCAGTTTTTTTTTTTTTTTTAAATCAGAGATGCAAAATATTATTTCCAGTGTAATGTTGCAATTAGTTTAGTCAATCAAAAAGTAAAGTAAAAAATGTCAAGAACCCTCTTCCACCCAAGTAATAATAAAGGATATTTCTTTGGTATCCAACTCAATATACTGACTGAAAACAGTAATTTAATGCCTGAACAAAATTCTTAGAAATATTCTAATTCAAAAGATGTGAAAACTGATTTTCCAGTATGATATGGGTTTTATTTACAAAGCAAAAATATTCACATTTCTGTTAATTAAAATTATTTTGATTGAAAATTCATATGCATTCATTAATAATTATTTAGACTGATGTGCTGAGATTCACAAAGTTTTATAATTATTTTATAAACTAAAGCTACATTGTAATGTTATATCAGATGTATTCACTATCAGATTCTAATTAAAGCAATACAATTTAATATGAAATGCATTTATCCATTAAATATATATACACAGGCTGTTTCAGCACAGTGGTGACAGACTTTCAGGAGACACAGTACACCTAGATGATGAAAATCCACATAGCAACGCATGGTCAGAAATGCCTTTCTGGTGCGGTGGTAATGCCACAAAACACAAGAAAGGAAGGACATGAACAGGATGAGAAAACATGTTTATTATGGCTAGGACAGCTAAAATATTGGGACAGCTTTGGCTTGTAAATGAGGTAGATGGTACTACGTACATCGAAAGGTTAGATGATGTAGCTTGTGCACGGTATTTGTGGCTGCATTCACTGCATGAAGCTTCATTTTGCATGCCAACAGAGTGGAAGTAGGATAGCACGCCATATGAATGCAGAGCTCGCCGATATGCATCTGGCACATGGGCCATTGATTGCTGCGGACGAGGCGGACAGCCTTGTACACCCACAGAAGGTTATCCAATAGGGAATCCTTCTGTGAAGAGACACAGCAATGAGAGTGAACAATAACAATGCTAGCTGAAAAGGAAACTGTGCTAGGGATGGCCAAATACAGTTCCTGGATGAAGACAATTTTGCTCCATGATTGGCCTTTGCACAGTGGTATTTACAGATGCGTGTGAAAGATCCCCATTTCCCAGTCAACATTTTGTTCACAGATGAAGCGATCTTCACGCAGGATAAAATGTTCAACTCAAACAAGACACGTGTGGTCATATGGGGCGGCATCATCGGAGACCACCTCGTCAGGATGTACTACTTGCCCCAATGTCCAACAGGTGCAACCCATCTCGTCTTTCTTCAGCAAGTATTACCCCAGCTACTGGACAATGCACACACACCTGTTGCAATGCCATTCTGCCATATGATTTCAGCATGGTGCTCCCACATTATAGCCTTGATATGCATCTCCACTTGAATGCAATGCATCATCAACATCAGATCGGCTGGGTGGTCCATTGCACTGGACAGCAAGATGGAAGGACCTCACTTGCATCGACTGCTTCCTCTTGGGAGGGGTACATCAAGACACTGGTGTACAAAACCCTTGTTAACAACGCTAACACACTGGAACCCACACTGTGGCAGATGCTGGAGAAGTTCGGGACATGAACGGTATTTTCCAAAACATCAGACCTTCTATGCACTGAAGATGTGAGGTTTGGGGTCGTAACTTCGAACATCTGCTTTAATGACGATCGTTGTCCGTTTTTGTTCTATTTCTTGTTTCTATTGTACTAAGCATAATAAACATGTTTTCTCACCCTCTTCATGTCCATCCTTTCTTGTGCTTTGTGTTTTCACTACCACGCCAGGAAAAGCGTTTCTGACCATGTAATGCTGCGTGATTTTCTACCATTTAGGTGTACTTCCCTCTCCTGAATGTTTCTAACTGCTGTGCTAAAACCATCTGTATAAATATATGCAATTCAATTTTTTAAAGTAAACCTGTAAGAAGTACTTAACATTTTATCATTTTATGGAACAGATGCATTTATATCTAAAACTATACATGAATATAAGCCATATGATGCCATTTTTCAGACCTATGCTAAATCAAGACACAAAATTGATTTTTTTTATGTTTCTTTGATTTCAACATAATATCAGTAAGAAAAGCTGTGAAACATTGATATAATAATAATAAATTAAATAAGAATTTTTCAGATATTTTCAGCAGTTTTATTATGGAAAATACAGACTTTATCATGCAAAACTATTTTCATGCAGATGTTATTTCACTTAAACAAAATTGTAGAATTGATAAAAATATTACTTTTGATCCCCCCTTTTATAATTATGGCTGCCTTTAAAGCAACTGATCTTTCAACAGAAGCTCGGGACTTTTCACATTAATCTAACGATAATATATATACAGTCAAAAGTCATTAATTCGGACAACCATAATCCGGAATGATCTATAATCTGGACCTCAAAGCTAAAAAATTTCTAAGCATGCGGCTCGTTGACACATGCGCATAGGCGTTTACGCGTGCGCGGAAGAGTAATTCCAGTGCCTTGCAATTCAATAATCGAGTGCAAAACAGAAAACTATTATTTAAAAAAAAAGTTATTATTATTTTTAAAAAAAGTTATCCCACTTGAAAGAGATTTGCTACTTAAAATACTGTTTTAAATTATATTTGTGATTTTTAAAAGTATTTACTTATTTATCTGCACTCTTTATCTGTTCTAAGATGGGGGGAAAATATGTCCACTATAACCACAATGAGTTTCGAAGTATCCTCTCTGACCACGTCCACTGCAGACACACCACCAATTCATCTACAGAATTCAAGCATATTAAATTTTAATTTGTCTCAACACTGACATTATACCAACTTGATAATATGCTAATCTTTGATTACCACGGATTGTGCAAATATAAGGTAAAATGTTTTAGATAAAAAAAGGCAGTCTCAAAACTCTATTTTACACCATTTCACTTTTCATTCTATTTTTTTGCCATGTGGCAAAATGCAAGAGATTTATCTTAAATTTAATCTCTGTTATTGATGTACTAAGCTATTTAAAAGCAATAGATGCAGTTTTTAGGAATAGTGATATTTTTTTAAAATTTTTTTAAAAACTTTTTGGAATAATAATGCATTTAATTCATGATACAGTCAAAAGTCGTTAATTCGGACACCCATAATCCGGAATGATCTATAATCCGGACCTCAAAGCTAAAAACTTTCTGCGCATGCGGCCACGTTGGCACATGCACACAGGCATTTTACGCGTGCACCTTGACTACTGCGCATATGCGTGTGCGCAAGTGCAGAATACGTTTTTGCCTGCGCGTTCAATGTATAACGGACGGTATAAGCTAAAATTATCTAATTATCTATTTCAGTTAATGTTAATGATTGCGTTGTTCCTTAATCTTCGAATTGGATCCCGCTTATTATTTTTTGCAGACTGTAAGAGCAATTTTATAAAAGTAAACTTGAACTTTCGATTATGTCAAATAGAATTTCCGATGCTGGAGCTCCCAAAGGATCTACAAAACGAAAGTATGTTTTGATGTCCATCAAACAAAAAGTGGAATTGCTGCAAAAAATGGATAAAGACATGAAGAATGTGACAGAGAGGTTAGTGAAAACGAAAAAATTTTGATTGACAAGTTAGTCGGTATTCTCGGCACAGCAGTTACGGGACTTGAACAACGGAACTTTGTAACTGAACAAGAAATTATGTCTGTTTATAGAATTAAAGAGAAAGTATTATCACATAAAACGAAGCAACTTACACAACTTACATTGAAAGAAATGTTTAATAAAGTAAACAAATAAATATTAAGCTTTTTTTTTTTTTTTTTTTTTTTTTTCTTTTGTAAATTTTGATACCCTTTAGATCATAATTGTTCTTTATTTCATAAATTACGGTTTCATATTTTTAATTTTAAAATTTCTACATGCCATCTTATGAGATTTAAACTGATGATCTATAATCCTGAAAAATCGATAATCCGGAATCGACGAAGTCTCGACGAGTCCGGATTAACGACTTTTGACTGTATCAAATAAATCATCCACTGTACAACATTGTTGTCTTCTAACTATAACCTCAGTTTTGTTTCTGCCAAAATCATTCAAGACTTGGACAATTTAGCCCTCCTTGTATTCCTAGGTATCCCATATCTATAAAAATCTCTCTACCATTACTCAATAACTTAAATTCTAATCTGTAATTCCCTCCAATATGCCCACAGATCAACTCTGATATAGTTCTGTTTCTCATACTTAGATGGCAATTTGCACGTTGCTTTCATAGATACTGCCATTATAGCAGCAAACATTCATGGCTATAAAAACATTCATGGATCTAATTTCGTGATTTTAATCTATCATTTAACTGAAGAAGTTTATGTAGAACAATTGTTGAAAATGCTCCTGCTAAAATAAAACGCTGACATCAAATAATATTATTTTATTTATACTCATGTCACATAAAAGTTAAAAAAAATATATTATTTCAAGCTTAGGAAGTTAACTGATTAACAACAAAACATATTTGAAAGATACAGAAGAATTTAAAAATACAGAAAAATTACTGAAATAAAACTCACATGTAGAAGATGAACTATGGTTTTCTTTCTTATGAACTTCAAGGACATCAGGATCTGTTGTGCAAAAATCACAGCCATTTTCTTTACACTCTTGTAATACTTGATTATGAATAAAGATGCAATGAGCTTCCATGTCTGATCGTACTTCAAATGTCTGTGAACAATGGCGACAACAAAACTGCGGCTTCTGACGGCTAAAAATATAGCAAATAAACTTCACATATTGAATATAATAATAATGAAATGCAAAATACATTACAGCTTACAGCTTTAAGCAATGTAATAAATTTACCAAATATGTTTTTATTCATGGCAAAAACAAAAATGAACATGAATTTTATTCCTTAATTTAGTTATCAGCTATGGATTATCGGTTTTTCCGGATTATAGATCATCAGTTTAAATCTGGTAAGATGGTACGCAGAAATTATAAAATTAAAAATATGAAACCGGAATTTATGAAATAAAGAGCAATTATGATCTAAAGGGTATCAAAATTTACAAAAAAAAGCTTAATATTTATTTGTTTACTTTATTAAACATTTCTTTCAATGCGCACACGCGTAAAGCATACATTACGCATAGTCGAAATTAGAAAATTGCAACCAGAAACTATTTGATGTGTATTAGTGATATTTATAATGATGATTGAATTTGATTTAAATCATATCAAAGACGGAGTACATTGAGATGAAACACTACATTTGGTAAGGAATTATAAGCCGAATGAAATAAAAAAATCTGCTCTGAAGATAAGGATAGTGCTGACAGATCAACTTCCAGTTCATTGCGTGCCGCAAGGTTATCAATTTATGCAATCAAAAGGACATATTTCATACTTTTTTGAATGAAATAACTTTTAATCAGCTGAAATATTTTGCAACAAATGTGGATCTTCAATGACAATTAAAGTTATAAAAAAATCACTTCTAATGGTCTTATTTGATTTTACATAAAAGATTTTATATTGAGGCTTGTCTTACCATAAAATCAGTTCATTTAGTTCTAAAAAATTTATACCTGACCTTTACCTGAAATTTATACTTTTACAGCTTTAGCCTCAACTATAAAATGCACACCAACATTACGATATCTAGACCTCACAGAGAGAAGATATCTCTATAGAGAGAGATAGACGCTACTGCCATTGTTCTACAAAATTTTGCCATAATGCCACATAATTGACTTATAATTGCTACAAGACCCAAAGTACAACTTTGAGATGCAACAAAGAGATATATAATTACTTCCATTTATTGGATGTTTTAATTTAAAATGCTTATGTTTCCTTAGGGTATACGATAAAATACAGTAGTAAAAGCCTAGTTGGTTGTATATGAAATTCCCTGAATTTTTCAAATTTTGACTAAAACATTTGGTACTTTTCCATTTTGCCGGCACAGGTGATAGAGTTGCCAAAAATGGTACAACCGATGCCAAACGGAATTTACTCGCTGGTTAACTTTTTACGCCTCATTTTCAAAAAAGTCACAGCCATTTCTTATCAGATTGTTTCTTTCAATACTGGCATATAATTACATAAAATTTTTACCGGATAGTTAAATTTTATGCCTCAGGCCATTTGCGGTAATTAGGATGCAATCATGCCTCTCACCCGAAAAGAAATTATAGAAAAGGCGATGTCAAGGGTTAAATTCACCAATTCTAATGAGAATGCACTAGCGAATTAAAAGCAGTACAGTTTTCACATATTTTCTGAGTAAGCTATTCGTACGAATTGAAATAATCCTTGCATTTAAACTTGTATTCCAAATTAAGATTTAGCTTGAAATTAATGTAGATAATTGATACTGAGAGGATTAAATTTTTGTAGCAAAAATTTATGTGAGATGAGATCACTTGGGTTCACGTGATATGAAACGGCAAATCAGGATGTTGTACTGTGAAAGCATAGTAAATTCTTAAATTAATGTCATTTTACAAATGTATTGCCTTTATTTATAATCTTTTTAGAGAATTTTAAATGATATTAAAATTTTTATGCCTTCAAAATAAAAATTTCTTAGAACTAACATTTTTTATGTGTATACTGTGTGTTGTCGCCAATAATGTCTGCTTGGCGAGATTTGCATCGGCAAAACAGAAAAGTACCTGACTTAAACGCCTAAAGGTACCTAAATTGCCTGACTTTTGTGGTCAATTTTCATATCCCTGACTAGTTTTCCAGGTAGCGTGACAACCCTGTTGAAAGTTTTAAAATAAAATACAGAGGTACAGTAATATCTAGTTATGTAAGGTACAGATAAAAAAACTAACATTGATACAATTTACATAATGAGAAAACAATCATTTCTTACAATTACTAAAAAAGAAACTTACTGCACATCCTTCATGTGGACATCTAAAGCTAAAAGACTGTCAGCTAGAAAATTGCACTTATTGCAAGACCTCTTCTTATGACACTCCCACATGTGGTTCTCCAAATCACTAACTTCGCTTGATTTGAAGTTGCACAGTACACAGAATGTTTTGTAATGCATTGAGGTGTGGATACGCAATGCCCATGCATTAGGACCAGTCCATGGACAATAAGGGCAATTATACTTCTTTGGTTGACTGCTCTGAAATGACGTAAAACCAGGAGGCTTCAGTAAGGCTTCTTGTAATATATCTTTGATAGGAGTATCTGTATTTCTCACTGGGGTTGGTTTAATTGGCTTTGGTGAAAAAGCATTCTGTGTTAAAAATGTCAATAAGTTGCTGTGCGATTTGTTGAATGTGTTATCATTCTTGCTTTCAGCTATTTTTGCTTCTTTTGCTGGAATATCTGGCATATGATCAATTTCTCTAGTTACTTTTACCATTGTAGGTGACCCAGTTAAACAATTTAATAAATGAGATTGTGTAACTGGAACTGTCAGTGGTAAAGGTTTAGAAGCTGCATCATTTATTGAATTTGAAGATAAATTCGCATCATGATTTAACCCAGAACTTCCACCATTAAGAGAGGGACTCACAGGAATTCGACTACGTTTTGAAGGCAGACGTCGGATTAAATTTATATCATAACTGAATTCTTTGTGTATACGACAGAAATGTTTTTTAACATGATCAGCACGATTAAACAATTTATAACAAATATAACACTGAAATGGTTTTTCTTCACGATGGATATTTTCATGACGATTATAGAGATCTCTTCTGTCAGTTGCATACGGACATTTAGGGCATATATATCGCTTTCCACAATTCTCCGCAACTCGCTCAACTCTATCCTCACAGTCAACACTGTACTTCAAATTTTGCAAGATCTGCATTATTTCATCTAAGAGAGGTTGATTTTTCCACATAGAGGCAGGTGCATTAGATACTCCATGATTTTTACTCATGTGGTTTCGAACACAACGCCACCATGCACTGCAATATGAACACTGAGGACAGTGAAAAACTTTAGCATTACAATGGGTACCTAAATAATGCTCACCAATACGGGACATGAAACCCACAGCTTGGCACACCACACAACGGAACATTTTTGTTTTAGGGTTGTAACTAGCAACGGTAGAATTATTCCAACTGAGTTTTTCTTTTGACATGATCCATAATGATTTTGAATTATTTGAGGCGGAATGAATTTCTTCAGCACCTGGGGCTTTCCCTTCAAAGAAAACGCCATCCAATTCTTTTTCCAACTTAGGAGACAATTCTGGGGAAGACTCTTCAATCTGTTCAACTTTAGGTTCATGTATTTCATTGACTTCAATGGGTGGTTTAAGGGGACCATTGGGCTCTGATATTGCTTTGACTTCAACTGCTGGCTTATGAGTGCCATTAGGTAAGGTATTATTAGAACTTGGTTCAGATTTAGGCAGTTTTTTTTCTGCTTTGACAAGAAGGGGTGATGGTTCAATTTTAATTTTTGTTTTTGATGGACTGACAATTTCTGCATCATATGTACTAGGTTTTTTGCCCAATTTTGTATAGATAAAATCATCTCTGATGTCAGTCCGCAAGTGATTTTCATCATTTGATTTGGTACTTGACTTCTTTCCAGAACGAGAATAGGTGAAGATGGATCTTGGAACCCCTCTGAATCTGGTATTGTATCGTCTCTCAGAGCTTTCAGCTTCCATACTTCATTTAATGCTCCATGCCTAAAATTAAAAAAAGATACATATTTATTTGTTACAAATTCAAAACAAGTTTCTGGACAATGGACTATAAAACCAACCAGAAATATAAACAATATTTAACTTACATAAGTCATTATATAACACACAAATATATATATAGAGAGAGAGAAATATAAATGAAAAATTATCTCCTGTGAAATTTGAAGTGAAATCTAGATAGTAAAGATGTACTATTATGGAAATAAATATATAAGTTTACAAAAAAGCTGATTTAAGTAGTTTGTGGGAGTAAACATAGTGTACAAATGAAAAGGAATAAATTCCTTTTTATTAAATTAAACCCTCGAAATTAATAGGTAAACTACTTAAAAATTGAAAAAAAAAAAAAAAAAAATAAGATCCAAACTATTTTAATATTTTCAATTAACAGAAGTAAACTGCAAGAAAGTAAAAAATTTGAAATTAATTTTTGAGTAATATTATGGTGATAGCATGTAGAAAAAGTTGTGAAATGGGGAAAAGTAAATACAGTGAAAAGTCAATGTCTTCACTTTACTCGGCATATAACAGAAATGGAATAGAAACTACTATTTGTTGGTAACAGAGATAGAGGGCCTCTAGAAATTTACAAGTACACTGCTCGATATTGAAAATAGAACACCAAGAAGGAGTAGTCAGAAATTTATGCAAATTTTAGAGTAGATGCACGTCACTGAGTTATGCGAATGATGTGAAATGCGCAGCTCTCCGACACACGTGAAGTAACATATAAGGTAAGGAACGTGCAGAATGGGCAATATTCGTGTCGTCATTTCTGCCAGACGAATTATTGAAGAAAGTTGGTTTCTGTCCCGGAGGATACATGTAATAGGAGAGAATGCCAGGCTGCCGTGAAAGAAGGCACTTCCAGCAGATAGACGATTTTACAAGGGGTATGGTGATCGGACTGAGAAAGGCGGGTTGGTCCTTGTGTCAAATCGCAGCTGATATCCACATGGATGCGAGCCGAACATGGTTGTAACAAAGAAATGTGGGAAGAAGGAGGAGTGCAGATGCAGCCAGAGTGACGTCAGCACGCGTGGATCGATGCATCCGCCGAGAAGCTGTGGTGGTCCAGCAAGTCACTTGTACTGCGATTCTGCAGCATGTGCAAGATACCCTGGATTTTCCCGTGTCGACCATAACCATTTCCAGTCAATTGGTTGAACATGGCCTACACTCACGACGTCCGTTAAGAGACTGCCATTGACCCCACAGCATAGACGCCACAGATGACTCACACTTCTGTTTATCCAGTGCCAGTCGCTGCATACATGTGTGGCGTTGACGTGGAGACAGATCTAATCCACCAGTAACTGTAGAACGCCCCACCGCGCAATAACGTAGCATAATGGTTTGGGGCGCTATTGCCTACGATTCCAGGTCACCTCTAGTTCATACTCAGGGCACTATGACAGCCCAACGATACTTGGATAATGTACTGCGGCTGGTGGCAATCCACTACCTTCAGGGGCTGCCTAGTGCAATTTTTCAGCAGGATAACGCCTGACCACACAGTGCTCGCATCTGCCAACATGCTCTGCAAGGTATACCAGATGCTTCCCTGGCAACCGTACTCTCGTGACCTGCCACCAATCAAACGTGTGGGATGTGATTTGACGCCGTTTGCAGACTCTGCCCCTGCCTCGTTCAGAAGACGAATTGTGGCAGATGGTTGAAAGGGAATGGGAGAGCCATCCGTCAGGACACCATCGGCACTCTTATTGACTCTATGCCTAGACGTGTTTCTTCGTGCATCGCTGTCTACGATGGTCCTACATCCTACTGAGCCGACGCCATTCTCACTCTGTATTCTGACTATCATTTTGAAATAAAGATCACTTATTGCCGCTTGCTGCCTCTGTCTTTTTTCCAAATTTCATCACTTTCTGACCACTCCTTGGTGTTGCATTTTCAATGTCGAGCAGTGTATATTTACAATTGTTACGCATTCAGTAAATACCCCGAAATCTAGAGTCCCATAAGTAACAATAAATTAAAATGACCTAATGTATAATTTGTTTTAGAAGTAAGTTAATAAAAATAGGTGGAATTTGATTATTAATAAGTGTAATTTTTATATATTGAATTTCTTGATAAATGTCTTCAACTGCGGTGCAAATATTTTTAATTCCGAAAATCTGGTTCATAGCAATTACTTTTTTTTGCAAATATTGGAATTCCAATAAATGAGTTAAATAGTGGGAAAGTTAAAAAAAAAAATTTTTTTATCAAAAAGTTTTAATTACTTTACAACTGAGAATTTACAGGTCAAGGTAATCAATTCTGTGATTACTGGAATTGGTTTTAAATTTAGTTTAACAATTTAGGATAAATATAAGTTGCTTCAATTAACCCAGAATTACTGTAAGTGTCACCAATGTATCTAAAAGTAAGGTTACATAATTCAATTACAGCCATGAATTATTATAATGTTTTAAAGTGGTGTAATCTTTATATATGTTCAGAGAACAATAAAAAGGTAAATTTAAAGTACACTTTACTTATGTACTTTAAATTTACCTTTTTATTGTTCTTTGAACATATATAAAGATTATACTGATTTAAAAAACTATAATAATTCATGGCTTTAACCGAATTATTTTACCTTACTTTTAGATACATTGATAACATTGGGGTACTTTAAATTTACTTTTTTATTGTTCTTTGAATATATATAAAGATTTTACTGATTTAAAAAACTATAATGATTGATGGCTTTAATTGAATTATGTAACCTTACTTTTAGATACATTGATGACATTTTCAGTAATTCTCGGTTGATTGAACCAACTTATATTTATCCTAAATGTTTAAAACTTAAAACCAATTCCAGTAATGACAGAATTGATTAACTTGACCTATAAATTCTCAGTTGTGAGGTAATTAAACTTTTATACATTATAATGAATGTTTATGCATTATAACTGTTACATAATATATGAAACTGAAGTTCATGTTAGAAAAAAGAAAGAAAGAATGCTCCATTTATAATGCTTAATTTAATATTAAATTAAATAAACCTTTACATCTCATTATTTCCCTCAACATGAAAAAATTAATTATTTTGCAAAGTAAAAAAAAGGGGAAGATTAGGAAGCTTTATGAAGCTTGCAATAATGCATTATCATCAAATGCCAATGTATGGCTAAATGCCTCTGCTTCTCAAGTGATTCACTCATCTTGAAAAATGATCTAGACTGGTTTTATCTTAAAAATGTAAATAAACTTTTTTTTTTTTAGTTGCTAAAATGGTATTATAATGATACTTGAATGAAAAGTATTTAAATAGCATTTTTTATGTAACCAAAATGAAGAAACCTCATGTTTCTTCCTTTATCATTTCTTGTTGCCCTGGAGTGCCACAATATTTCAGCACGGCATCTAGTAAAACTTGTAATTTTCAAATAATCAGAGTGTTTATCTTTCTGAAAAATTTTCAATTTAACTCTTGAATCATTTTGATAATTCTGGACATTGATATTCTTCCACTAAATCTTGCATGTTTTTAGAAAACATAATATGATAAATAAATGTTGTGTTGTGCATATTACTCTAGTTATCTAAGTGAAATATTCAGCTGGTTATTGAATTTCAAACTGTTAACAAAGAATTGACTTGTTAATCAAAAATATTAGTTAAATTATGCTGTGAAAATCAACCTTGAGGTCCAAGACTTCATTTACGTACTTTAGTTACTATATGTCATTTGTATCTTTTTAATGAATGCAAATATACTTTTGAAAACTATATTTTAAAATTTGCTTTCATTAACCTTTTCATTCCCAACACCGAGGAAATTCCCGCCCATGTGCCCATGACATTAGAATGCTGAACATCACTGTGCACCAAAGCAGATTTTGCAATTACATATAAACATGCAAAAATAATTCCTATAATACCTGGTTTTTATCTAAATATTTGGATCCTTGCATACGTTATTTAAATATCATTTCTTATGATATAAGCAAAAAATCTTAATACTTAACATAAGAATTCAAAATAAGTTAAGGTGCACTTTCAGTAATAATGATTATATTCCCAACTTTAAATTAGTTCTATACAAAAATGAAGTAAAATCTTAAGAATTTAAATATAAATGCTTATTATATCCTATTGCTATAAGCCCACCAGCGGCTGAGCGGTAAAGATGCTGAACACCGGTAGTTCGGTCCGAGGTTTGAATCCCGCGAACAGGCTGGCTGCATGGGCGTTTTCGTGGTTTTTCCAATGTGTAACATGTATACGAGCCAGTTTCCCTTAGAAAGTCCTCCACGAAGGCATCCCTCCCTTTAGGCAGATAGCCCTTGTGTGCTTTGGCATAATTGATTCAAATCCAATAACTTATTGCTATATTTACCACCCAAACATTTTAAGATGCATGCATTTTCCAAAATGCTTCTAAATTATGAAGGTGCACTTTACTTTTGAAGAATAAAATAATAAATAATATTCATCACAACAATCTACCAATCTACATCTACCAATCTACAGATTCTATTCAGTAAGTTTTCACAGCAGTCTGGTATAATTTATTTGCACTTAAAATTTGAAGTAAAACGTTCCTGTATCAAATATGATATGGTGGGATGTCAGTGACACTCTGCTTCCATATCTCATTTTATACATTCATGCACATTAAACATGACACTAGGCTGTCAGTGAATCTTTGTTCCCACATCACATTTGATATGATGAACCCACAAATGCAAATTAAGCATATCATGTACTGGGAACGAATGTATACTGCATATTTTCCTTTACTTAAAAACTTTAAAAATATTAAAACTTTTTTTAATTTAATTAATTTATTTATTTTAAGATTTGAAATACCTGAGATTCATGAGAATCTTTCAGGATTCAGTTCAAAGAAATTTAAGATTCAACCTACCTCTCGTCTTTTTTTTTTTTTTTTTTTTTTTTTTTTTTTTTTTTATGCTTAAAATCTTTATATATCTGTAATGCTGCTCAGCAGAATTTGA